ATCCAGAGTTTCCCCAACTGGGGGGGGATATTCCTAGACTAGAGTTATTAGCAGCCACAATTGCTTCCTGCCTTGCCTCTAAAACTAGGTGTGAGATTCCCCATGGAGAAGTTTACTTTTGGGTTGACTCCACTATTTTACTTACTTGGATTAAAAGAAAAGAAGCATGGGGAACCTTTGCTCAATCGGAAATCAGGACTATGACTTCAGAGAAGAAAAGGAGACATGGGCCAGGGACATTAAACTCGGCTCATCTTCCAAGCAGAGGCTGTTCTGCGAAGAAAATGATACAATCAGAATGGTGGAAGGGCCCTGATTGGTTGTATTTATCTAATGAGAAATGGCCTTCAGAATTTGTTGCAAATGAAGATGAAGTTCTTAAGGGAATGAAAGAAAACTGTGTTTCACCTTCAACTACCTGCTTGACTACTCAGATAAAAAATGTAGATACTGATTGGTACTATCGTTACTTTTCACATTATGAAAAAAATTTTACACATAATTGGATGGATTTCAAAATTTTTGGAAGACTTTAAAAAATCGAAAAAAATTGAAAGAACAAGGATGTCTGGATGCAGAGGAATTTTCAGAAGCTGAGAAATGAGTAATAAAGATAATTCAAAGAGAAGCATTCTTAGATGAGAAAGATAAAAATCGAGAACACTAAAAGTTCATAAAGATGGAGACGATCTCATCAGAATAAGAACAAAATTTGACCATCGAGAAGACCTGTGATTCTCCCCTCTCAACACTAGGTTGTAAAACTTTTAATATTTTCTTTTCATAAAAGGCATGGACATGTGGGGACTCAAATGTTATTTAATCTTTTGAGGGAATGTTTCTGGATCTTAAATGGAAGAAAAATTGTGAAGTGAATCATCTCAAAATCTGTTACATGTAAGGACATTCTGGTAAAAATTTGAATGCTGACTTAGCCCTCATCACTAAAGACCATATTTGAGATGTTGCAGTATTTGAAGTCTTGGGGGTAGATTTAGCCAGTCCATTATATTTGAAAGATCGAAAAAAGACTTGGGTTTATCTCTTTACTTGTGTGGTTTATTGAGCTTGTGTCGGATATTTCAACTGATACCTTTTTATTGGCCCTATGTAGATTTGTGACAAGAAGAGGTAGATATGCAGTAATTTACTGTGACAATGGAACCAATTTCGTTGGAGCCGACAATTTGTTAGAAACTTTGAATTTGGATTGAATCAATGAGAATTCAAATGTGATTCGCATTCAATGGAAATTCAATCCTCCTTCTGCCTCCTGGTGGGGTGGTTGGTGAGAACAGTTCATTCGAATCATGAGATATGTTAAAGAGAGTGACTTGTTTGTCCCCATATGAGGAAATGATCATGGTTCTATGTGACTGTGAGTTGATTATTAACTCAAGACCTCTCACATATATTTCGGAAAATGATTCAGATTTTGTTCTTCTATCACCATCATTATTTCTTCAAGACATCAAGGAAATCGGAGTGCCAGACTGTGATGCAGCAGATTACAAAAGCCTTAATAGAAGGTTAAAATATTGACTTGCACTTAAAAAAGATCTTAGGAAAAGATTCAGGTCTGAATATTTAGGTTCATGAATTCAAAGACCTAAGCTACAGAAATGGTGAACGATATCTGTGGGAGACATTGTTCTCATAGGCAGTGACAATCAGAAATGCCTTTATTGGCCTGTAGGACAAGTAACAGAAATTATTGCTCAAAAAGAAAAAATCACCAGGCTTGTGAAACTTTGAACAGCTCATGGAGAAATAATGAGACCAATACAATGGTTGTTTCCAATAGAGATTACTTAAGAAGTGGCTAAGAATGTTTAAGCGAAAATGCAAATAAAGCAAGTGTCTCATTCTGACGTATCCCAGGCATGAGTAGCAGGCCCTGCAGAATCCATTGCACAAACTGAAACAACGCAATCTGGAAGAGTATCAAAGTACCAGAAAGACTTGATTTGTAATACGATTGTTAATTGTTGCGTTGTGAAGTCTTCTAACTCAAGGTGGGAGGATGTGGAAAGCTGAGTGTTAAGTTTATGCAAGTGTATTGTTATCAGTATAACTTCACATGTTTAAGATTTGTAACTTTGTAATTCTGAGTCTGGCAACTGAAAAGAGTTTTCTTATGTTTTGAATTTCATGAAAGAATTATCTTCATATTCATGTTAAATGTTATAAAATAAAAATATTGTCATTAATTATGTTACAAAGAATAAAAGGCATGTTCTGTCAATACTTTGTACATTATTTGAGTTTTGAGTATTACTGTTCGATTACGTATTCCAGATTTATGTAAACTTCTGGTTTGGGGCAAAAGTGGGCATATCTATTAGTGATGTAGGGGTGAGTGTAGTATTGTAAGAAAAAAGCACTAAATGACCCCCCCCAATCTCCGAGAGGAAAAAATACCTGCGCTTTTCACCCACACCCCTTCAACCTCTGAGAAGGAAAAATACCCAAGCTTTTCACCCACACCCTTCAACCTCTGAGAAGGAAAAATACCCAAGCTTTTCACCCACACCCTTCGGTTAAATGACCCATCTTGGCTCTCATCCAAACTGCTCTCGCTAGTGTGGTTAGACGGTAGTAATATCGATTTGTAGTTGAGTTTTGAAATCGGTACCCAACAGCTTGTCAACTGTGGACTAGAGCATGCTTGGCATGCTAATCAGCTAAAGTTCACAAATATAGCCATGCTCCAGCTGCTAAATTCAAAGTTTCAACATTTCAAGCGCTTCAACATCGATATTATTTTTTCTTTAACCATCCTGCAAAGATTTTAGGTATAAGCTTACTATCATCAATAGATTCACTTGGTGGATCGAAGCTGTTCCTTTAGAATTCTGAACTTTCTCCTTCATGAAATGGTGTACACACCAGGATGCTTAAGTAGCAAGACCTTAACCCTTAATCAAATCAAGTTAAATTTTCTTACTAGATACCAAAACATGACTAATACAGTCTAATGAGATTTTTTAAAGAATAGACTTAATTAGAGTATAATAATGCATGTATTTTGTATGTAGGAATTAAAAGAGCGCACGATAGTAATAGAGCCGATAGTCATGAAATCCCTCAAGCTGATGTGGTACTCTAAATATGTAACAATTAACAACAGGCAAGTGTGAAATCCTTGGTGCTTTTATGAAGGGTAAATAATAAAGGAAAAACAAAATTGTGCAAATAAAGCAAAGTGACAAAAAATAGAACATAAAAGAGGAGCTTAAGCAAGGACATTTGTCATAAAGATTGCAAACAGAATTATACATTACAGGTAAAGAGATACATACTGTAGAGTAATTACTTACAAATAGGGACTAATTAATTACAAATATAGAGATACTAAGCAGTAGACAATAACATGAGCAAAGATTAATCAGCTTGAATGCTAAGGATTGACATGGGTCTGTTACAATTCTGGGGTTCTTTGACACCATTATTGCAAATTCTAACAACAGGATTATTTATCAGTTTTTGTAGAAATGTTTTGCAAGCCGGTAGTAGTTAAGTTCTTAAAAGTTCAGTTCATGTTTTTCTTTTTGGTGAACAGGATGGCTTGTGTGTTGGCAACATTCACTAGGATTTTCCATTCTTTCAGCCAAGTGTATGGATGTGTTCTTATAATCATTTGATAACTGGACTACAATGCATCAGGATTGCTGTGTAAGAAGACCAAACTGCAGATTCTATTACAAATTCATTTGTTGCGACTTGGATTTCCAGATTTAGAATACCAAAGAAGATAGCATCTGACCAAGGGCGACAGTTTGAAAGACAATTCTTCCAATACTTGAGCAGATACCTATGTGTCAGTGCAAACAGCACCACAGCTTATCACCCCCAATCTAATGGTTTAACCAAACAGCAGCATTGAACTTTGAAAAACAGCTTGAAATTCCACTTTCTAACACAAATTACTCGATTGATGTTCTATCTTTAGTTCTTCTTGGCATTAGATATGTGATTAAAGAAGATTTGCATTTTTTTTTCCTTATGGATTTATGTATGGCACGCAAATCTGTTTGCGTGGAGAATTTTTCAGTAAATCCAACTCTGAAGCATTCAGATTTTATACAAAAGTTGCAAAGCGACATCCAAAATCTAAAACTGCACTCCAGCAACCAGTCATGGAGAAAAATCAGTTTTCATACACCACAAGGACTTGGCAAATTGTTTCCATGTATTCATCTTTAATAACAATTTAAATTGTTTACAGGTATTCAACATTAATAACATAATTTTATCTTCTCTTCAACCACCCTGTCTTAAACTATATTTCGGTTAACAACATTTTGAAAAATTTTTCAATGTGATAGTTTCAGGCAAAATTCAAAGAATATTGATAGATAGACTGAAACCTTGTTTCACACTCAAAGATGAGGTAACCACTAATCTTCAGACATGTTAAGCTGATAACTCTGCAATCTCACAACAACTTTGTAGTAACATTCATCCTTTCAAAGACATTGACCCTAGAAACACAAGACCTGGTTGAAGAGTGAGATTTTCTGCATATCTAAAAGACTATGAGGTATAATATTGTCTCTGGAAAGGGGTTGTGTGGCAACATCATTTGCAGTACTGTAATGCCATCAATCAAACTCTTTGCATTGCAATTTTCTTTTTGCTCAAGTGGCAGCAGTAAAAGTGTTCAAAATAAAAAGAATTTGTTTTCAAATAAAAAGAATTGTTTTCATTTGTTTTACTGCTGTTCTCTTGTTAATAAATTTATTTAAAGGAGTTTGTTCTCTACAGTGTACTGTTAATACATTTGTTCTTAATTAACAAACCTATGTAGATTTTTGTAATCTTATTTAATGTTGGTGACACTGACAGAAATATTTATGATTTAAAAATAAATAAATAAATGCATTTTTTTCATGGTTATTGAGTTCCCATCTTAATCTGATGCTCACTGGACATATTTTCTAAGCCACACTGCATATAATAAACTGTATTTTTAATTAAACAATTTAAAATTTTTCCAGATACTTCATGTACTTCGCTTTGGTGGAAGTATTTGTGGTTTGTCTTGGGAAGGTGATGGACAGCGGATTGCACTTGCTGTAGATTGTTATATTTTTTTTGCAACTATACGCCCATATTATAAAGTTAGTACTTTTGTTACAGTTTATATGATTACTAATTTGTTTCTGATATTTATAATTCTGTCATTCAGGTTTTCAGAATTGTTATATTACATGTTTTGCAAACAGTGGAAGTTTTGTAAAAGACTTTGGATTTTTGTGGTGCTATAAAATCATAATTTTTTTTGGCATAATTTTGTGTTGCTCTGAGTACATTTTAAATATATCACTTTATTTTTATATTGTTGCTAATGGTTTTGATTTTGTTTTTCCTTTTTTTAGTGGTGTTATTTTTCTAACACATTAGCATATGCTTTTAACAAATCACAAGATCAAAAAGAAAGCACTATTATGTTTTGGAATTCAAATACAAAAGAGGTATGTGTATTTTTTTTTTATTATTCATTGGTAGACTTAATGCTTTAAACATAGTAAAAGTCATGGTTTTTTCTTTTATTTAAGAAACATATAAAATTAGTGAAGAATCTTTCTGCAGTGACTGCATGTGGGGATTTTTGTTGCATAGCGGCCAAGAATGATGAAATAATTAAAGAGGTATGTTTAATTATCACAGAATGCATGCTTATAAAGCTATTTCATTTAAACTGTTACTGTAATTAAACTGATATTAATACATTTAAGCTTTTTAAAATGTTTGAAAATTTATTTCAGGAGTGTGTATTAAAATTTGAGGAAGAACTGTATTGACACACATAATTCCCCCCCTCTTTTACACTTAATTTTCTAATACAAAAATCCTGACAGCGCCATTTATCAGCATATTTTGAAACTATTTTTTTCCTTCTCAAACAGTTCTGACAAGTAGATTTAAAATTAGAGCATTTTTAAATCTGTGTGAACTAATCACCCTGTACTCGATGAATATTAATTTGAATTATTTCATTTGTCCAGGATTTCCCAAGGTTAATTTTTTGGGTTAGCTCTTAGAAAATGGTTACAATGCTTCTTCATTTCCCAGCAGACGTTGCTATGGAAACCAGGCAACTTTTTCAAGAAGCTATCGTTTTATTTCTCATTTGAATACATCCCACCCAGACAGGAAACAATAGAGCGACTCCAGTTGTTACTGATAGGGTCAGTCCGATTCTATCAGTGACGCCTGGAGTCCCTCTATTGGCCTTTTTCTGATCTTATATGTATAGTTATAATCGGTTGTACTTAACTTTATTTTAACTCATGTTTCTTTTAAAAGGGTTCTTAATATTTAATTATAAATCTTATTAAAAGAGGTTTTTAAACTTGGCCTTAAAACTATTAACATTGTGCTAAAATTAGAGAGCTGTTTTAGCGAACAACATACCAAATATGATCCAGCATTATATTTGAATTTTCTGCCGCCAAAAGTTGCCGCCTGGGGCAAGAACCCCAGCTTGCCCCCCTTCCCCCCACTAGATCTGTAGCTGGTTTAGATAGCTGTAGAATTTTTAATAGAAATTCATCAAGACATGGACCAATATGGTCAATATTTGTAATATTTTCATATTTGTGCCATTCTTAACAGTTTCAGAATGCTGTACACATTAGATTTTAATGATAATGCATGCTCTTATATTATGCATTTGTTTTATATTTGAGGTTTTGCATATAGAATCTCATCTTAAAACTTTAAATGAATGTGAATGGGGTGTATTTATTTTAATCAGGCTAAGAGAGAGAGAAAAACAAAAGATGGTACTTTTCCGTTTTGCCAGCACGGGATAAAGTCGGCAATAATGGTACAACTGATGCTAAGCGGAATATCCTCGCTGACAACCTTTTATGTGTCATTTTCAAAAGAAGTCGCAGTCATTTCTTATCAGATTGATTGTTTCTTTCAATACTGCATACAATTAGATAGAATTTTTACCAGATAGTTCAATTTTATGCCCTAAGGCCATTCAGGGTAATTAAGTCAATTAGGATGCAATCACACCATTCACCCGAAGGCAAAAATAAAGAATAGCCAAATTCATCAATTCTAATGAGAATGCACTAGCGAAGTAAAGCACTGCGGTTTTACATAATTTCTGAGTAAGCTATTCGTACAAATTGGAATAATTCTTGCATTTAGACTTGCATTCCAAATCAAGATTTAACTTGAAATTAATGTAGATAATTACTGAGAGAGTTAGATTTTTGTAGCGTAGTTTGCGTGAGGTGAGATCACGATATGAACCAGCGAATCAGTATGTTGAACCATGAAAGCATAGTAAATTCTTAAATTAATGTCTTTTTACAATTTTATTTTCTTTATTTATTGGCTTTTTATAAAATTTTAAAGGATATTAAAATGCTTATGCCTTCATAATAAAAAAAAAATCTTAGAACTAACATATGTTAACATTTTTTATGTGTATACTGTATGTTGTCGCCAGTGCCAGCGAAACGGGAAAGTACCAAAAAAATTTCTCTGTAATGTATCTCTTGAGATAAATAACTGATAAAGCTGTAAATAAATTTTAAAGATTTTTGATTTCATCCTTTGTGATTATTTATTTTATGTAGGTTAACTAAAAATAAGTTAGTTAAAACTATGTTTATCACTTTGATTTTGTGAACATGATTAATGAATTATTGATTATTAATTTCACTCTACTACCGATGTTTATACCTGAAAGGTAATTTGTTTTCAGATAATAATTGTCGCTCTGGATAAAATTTCTATATCTGGTAGGTGAGTGTAAAAAACTTCTGCGATGGCCGAACAATGTGTTTCATTTTCAAAATTTCTGTCTGGTTCTTCTCAGTGTGATGTCTGTGAAAGTATATTTTCTGTACCAATGGCATGTGGTATGAGAAAAAAACTCCAATTGTGAGTGAGTTCATGCTGCAACTGGAGCTTTTATTAAAATAGCTTTCATATGAGCATTTTTGTGGCATTTTAAATCATGAAAATTTTCCCTTTGCTATTTCAGATAGATATAATGATATATATGGAATTATACTTTTCTGAAATTGGTTCAGTCATATTGAATTACTCTGAATGGTGCGAGTTTAACTATGATTTTGTCATTATTTGTGTTAAAAAAATTACATAGAACTTCTAACTTAAATGTCAACAGTTTCCTTTTTATTTGATACCATTTGAAAAACAGTTATTCTTAAAAACTCAGCATGCATATTAAAGTTCATGAAGATGTGTAGTTCTGATCTATATCCAAATAAAACATTTTGCTTGGGTTCTGGGAAGAATTAGTGTTTAAACTCAAAATTTTTATGTATTATATAAATGATATTCTTAAAAAGCTCATAGCTTTGTATTAGATATGAGATATATCCTTGTATATTCTTTCTTTTGTATTAGAATTCCCTAGATGCAGTCATTTTTGTATTGAAAATACTGTTTACGGTTTGCATTGGAAATAAGATAATGCTGAATATAATGAATGTGATGTTATTTAAATGTTTATTAATTTTTTCATTGATATTATGCTTAAAATATTATCTTATAGTTTGGTGGAATTATGATTATTGATTATAATTATATGAAAGATTTTTTAATTTAAAATTACTTGTAGTATTTTTATAAAAGGGGCAAGTAAATCAACGTTTTTGTTACATATTAATCACTAATTGAAAATCATCGAAAAATACTCATGAAATATGTTTTCAGACTGAAAATGTAATTTCTTTTACTTCTTTTGCTATTTCTTAAGCTAGAATGAATATTGAAAATCTTATTTTTTAATAATTTATTTAAGTAGTTTTTAAGATTATATGCAAGAGCTTTTTTAAATTTCATTTTTACATTTCTCTTTCTAAGAAAGCTACTATGGTTTGTAAAAAATAATGTTTCTTTGGAGAAATCGGTACATATGATTTATGTTTACTGTATTAGTGCAACATATTTATCTTAGTGTTTAAATGCAGGAAAATAGCTAAAGATCAGAAGTATATTGTGATGTAAATAGCTGTTGGAAAAGCTACATTTGAAAATAAAATGGCACATATTTAATAAATTAGTTTTGCTTAGAGAAGAATAATTTTTTATGATTATTAGTTATGTGTAATAAAGTTTTTGGTAAAAAGATAATTTTAATCATAAAACTAAGTAATAGGAACATTCTTGATAAAAATTTTAATTTATTTAATTTAAATCTTAACTGATTAATTTGGTTTATTTAACCTATTTTTAACCAAACTGAATTAGTCAACATTTCAGTTAATTTTAAGAACAGTATGCATAAATACTGTAAATAGCAGGGGGGAAAAAAAAAACATGATTACAATTGTTGTAATTAATTTCCGAAATTATAACAAAATTTTCTGTTTCGTAATATTTCCTCAGAATTTCAGAATGCATTTCTATGTTTATCACATATATCACAAAGAAGATAACAAAGGAAGGTATTTATGTTATATGAACCCCACAGCTATATTCCCCTTAAAATTCATTAGTTCTAACTTAATTGCGCTTATTGATATAAAAATCTTATTTCAGAATTTTTGTTTTAATATATTTCACAATTCGTATTAATTTTTTATGATACAGATAAGTATTATGAGAGAAATGTTTAAAATCAGGGGAATAAGAGATTTAGAATAACATAAACTGCCTTCATGAAATATAGTCTTCTGAATTTCTTATTTAAACTAATACCATTCATCATGTTTCATGAAATAATATACTATGTTTTTTCATCAAGTATACAAAATTATATTAGAAGTTTTATTATTTTATCCAGAAATTGTTATATTAACCAGTTGTAGGATTTATGAAAAACATATGACATTTTTTGTTAATAAAGTATTAAAGTTATATATATGCATACATTTTTTATTTTATTACCGTCTCCTAAATTAGTCATCTGCATTTATCACTGCTATTTAAAGACATTTATTGATATCTGATTTAATGCTTATTTCAAACCTGTAATGCTTCTAACATTTAACTGTGATAAATTTAAAAGCTCTTTTAAAAGCGTGACAAAAAATTTTTTAGTTTTATTACAAAGGGATGGTTTTATTAGTATATTTAAAACTGAAAAATGTGTAGTTACATGTGATTAGCAGTTTGACTGGACTGATAAAAACGAACAAGGCAGGAAAGCTTAGCAGCGAAATAGCTTCAAACAGCCCTACAATAAAGGTTGGTGATTGCTGTTTCATTACTTTTACTTCCATGGGGAAGAACAAGAGTATAAAAAATGAGTTTTGTTTTATGTTTTATTACTGATGTTTTTTGCTTCATTAATTTTATTGCTTAGTTGCTGTTGTATGCAATTCTTAGTGGGCCACCATTTTGAAAATGGCTGTTGCTTTTTGAGCATTAGCTTGGTGAAAAGTTATTCACCGAGGAGTTTGTAAATGCTGTGCAAAGTTGGCAGCGAGTTTGTAACTTTTTGATAAGGTTGCGGATAATCCAAAAATACTAAAAATTCTTATATTAAAAATAAAAAGCTATTAGATAGTGACATACATCACTTGCAACACAAACTAGGGGGGGGAAACACTATAGTTCAAGGGAAAAAATGCTTAGAGGTGGCCAGTGAACCCTTTGTATGTGAACACACAATCTCAAAACTCTAGCTGAAAGTTTTATTTCCATGTTATTAGTATGAATGCTGGGACTTCTTAGATTTCTTTTGGTAGACAGTTAAAGTAGTTCTGCAGTTTAATTCTTTTTTGTCCCATTCAGGCATGCCATCATCTAAACTTTACCTTATATTTTATTATTAAGAATTTTTAGGTTTGCTTTCTTGGAATTAAAATAAAGTTTTCAAAATGTGTGAATGAAGTAAAAGATTAATTTATGATAAACAGAAGACTACAGTTAACTGATTATTAAATCAGTTATCTGTATGTATAATGCTCATAAAACTAATATATTATAAAGAAGATTGTATGCTGTATAGTAATGTATTTATAAAGCATTTATAAAATTACTACATTTAATTTCTTTAAATATCTCATGATTATTATTGGGAGCTGTGACAAAATGCTTCAAAATGTGCAGCACTTTTACAAAAACAGTTCAAGGTGGACATAAGTTATGTAACTAGGTTAAGAAAATATTTGGAATGCAAAGTTTCCATAATTTAACTCTTCACTTCTAAACTTGAATTTTTACATAGATGGTTGCAGTGGCTAACAGTACTAGCAGTGACAAGTATCTAGCAATTTGAATGCTACCTACTCTGTACAGATAAGAAGAACTGAAGAACAGTCATCACTTTTAGAACCCTTTTTAATGCATTCTTCAATATGAAAACTGCACAGTAATATTAGAAATTTCTGAAATTAAAAATGAAGGCTTTTGAGAGATATTTTATTTGCTCCTCGCATCTCATTGCTGATATTAGCAAAATAAGACTGCTAGAAGTTGGTAGTTTGATCCCTATTCAAATCCCAGTGAATGACCTGGCTATGTGGCTGTTTTTGTGGTTTCTCTTATGTGTAATGTGAGTGTGATCCAATTTCCTGTAGAAAGTCCTCCATAAAGGTAACTCTGCACCTAGATATCTCTTACATGCTTTGCCATATTTCATTAACCCTCTGAGTGGTATGGCTTTTTGAGTCTGTTCATGAAGACCTGTATTTAAAGAGCATTTTAAGCTAAATTTCTATAATTAATTTAGTCTATTTTCATGAACTTCCATTCACTAGGATGATATTTACATCATTAGAAAAAAAGAGAAAGCAAAATATTTTAAATTTTAAGCTAATGTATATCAATTGACCAAAAACTCATGACTGGGATAAAAGCAGTCATGCCACTCATAGTGAAAGAAAGCAATCCTGGAGTTAAAGAAGCCATTTTTCAATTGCCATTGTCTTTTGTTAACAGCATCTGATTGCTGCTTCAGCACCACCTGTCTCCACTTTATATTCAAACCTACAGATCAAAGATGAACATCGTTCAGTTCTCTCCCTCTATCTTTCACCTTGGGCCTCATCTTTAAAAAAATGTCAGTCAACATCATTTCGTACACTGATTGGAGAATCACATGTGTACTGCAGGTGTACTGCAGGTGTATCAATGGAAATGGGGGTTTATCCAAAACTATTGTCACATTCTGGGCCCTTAGAAGAATTAATATTATTTTATCATTAGTTTCCATTATTTCTGTGTGAGAAAATGTACAATATGAAAGGGTATGTATATGTTTTTAAAAGAACTTAACAACTAAGTTAATGCATTAAAACAAATTCAGTGAATTAGTTGCAATCACATCTAATAGGTCAATGAGGAAAGGAACATGGTTCTGGTTTATGACTTTTGTAAGTTTTACTATTTTAAGAATCCTTTCATTGCTGTCAACTGGTATATTAGAGTATAAAACTACTCAATATTAACTTCATCTAATTTGGTGAGCCAGACAAAATTAGCTAGCCGCATATCTGTATAAGTATGATCTTGCACTTTATACAGTTTGTTATGTTTTGCAGTCATCATGTAGTGTCCAAATGTTTAGTTAGACCTAGCAAATTATTGCTAAGCATAAAATAACAACTGAAACTTGAGAAGGGTGTAAAAGACCCTATTATATAAAATTAAAGTAGAACAGAAGGTGCACCTGGAGCTTAAAAGGTCAACCAGCACTTATGGTGATATAACATAAAGTAACAGTCAGATATAAATTTAAATTCACACTAGTAGCTGAAAACTACACAAATCAGTTTAACACGAAGCTGGCTAAAACCAGTGTGGTGAGTCGGTATCAGCGATTATAATTCAAGGGCAAAGGCTACAAATCTTATCTGAGTTGGCAACCTGGTGACATGGCCTCAAGAGGCAGAGCACGTCTTGCAATCTAAAAACCTCATCTTAAATACACATAAAGTAATTTGCATTCTGGAAATATAAGAAAGTGATAGTAAAGGTCTAAATCATAAAATAACTAGTTAATTAACATAAAGGAACCCTACAACTTCATGGAACATACTCTTTGTACCAGTCTGAGTGAATGTCATTTTGGTTAGGAAAATACACTTAATAGTTTTAGTTATTTTAAGCTTTTACAAATTTTATTGTTAGAAAAACATATCACAGAACTTGAAATTTTTCCTCTCTAGTATTCTTTGATTGTGTGTAATGGCATTGGATCCCCAATTGATTCCTGCAATATTAACTTGGAGCCTCATTATCTTACCATGAATCATTCAGATATTTTCGCTGCCTCACGTAGTAGTTTCTGCAAGTTCCATTTCCATTCTCCAAAGAGTAAAACTTTGATGATGTTAAACGAAAAGCCTGGTTTATCAGAAGAAAGGTAAAAATTTATCATTGTTAAATCTACAGTATTCATCAATATAAACCTTCAGATTAAAGTTATTTCATCTTTATTATAACTCCATGATGGTTTTGAGAGTCCTTTTTTTCTTTACTAACATTTATATGAATGTGTTGTCAGTTAAATCTCCCTTTGACAGATTTGCTAAATAATCTTATTTCTCAATTTATCTTAATTTTGCTTCACCGGCAATTTTATGATTATTTTATTGCCATGCAATATGGATTAATATAATGCTAAAATTGTTAATGAAATTTTGATGTATAGCATAAATAATGCAGCTTTTAGATAAATTAGAACATTCTTAAAGAATAAGAGGAAAAAAATAAGTAACAGTTATTAGTAAACTATTATTGTTTAATCATTAACTTGGAATTCATTATCAAATTGGATTTAAATGAAGCAAATTTTAAAATGAGGTAGTAAAATGATGTAATTATGTTTTTAGTTTATCTGTTAAAATTATTTTTTTGAAACTCAAATGGTATTGATTTCAATAACCTTTTAGTTATTAAATTTAAAGAAATTTTACTGTGATATGTTGCTTTTTATTTTCAGCAATAATTTTTTAGTCATCAGATGGTTTTCTTTTCCCCCAAATTATATCATTTTAAAATGCTGCAATAAATAATAGATGTTGTAATAAAGCTGACTGACCAAGACCAATACATTAACTAAGGCTTCATTCAGATGAAGTTTTTGTCATCATAAGGCTGTGTGGTTAAAGGCATAAATGTCATTTAAGACCATTCACATCTGTTTAGCAGGGTTTTAAGCTGTAGCCAATCAAGGAAAGGAAAGTTGCACATGCATAAATGTGTAGTTTAATCAGCGAAACTGTCTGCCGAGATGCAGTTTATGTTTGCCTCTCTGTGTTTGGTTGTTTCTTATACCAAACTGGCATAAAGTTAAAAAGTTAAAACTTTTAAGCACAATCCTTAAACCAGTTTGTGTAATGTAGCAAGGTCTGGTTGCCTAGCAGTGAAGCTAAGATTAGACCTGTTATGGTCGAAAAACTGTTGCGTGAACAAAGCTTTAGAAGAATTAAATCTTCAGCATAAACAGTAGTAGTTTATATACTTTACTCATGCATGTTGAATTCCCTCCCCCCCCACAGTAAAGAACGTGGAGAATCCCGATTTGTAATTTCACTTAGCCGCTTAATAAAATACTTCGTTATTGAAGAAATGACCATTTTAGTGTAAATTTGTATGATCGAGACTTTGGCTCCGATCCGTATCTGCTTGGTATACATCTCAAACCGAAACATTCTACATAGGTACATCGTTGATTTTACACCTACTTATATTTTATATCCCTGACGCCAACCTGGCAAATTATTATTTATTATATTTTGCTTTCATTACCGCATGTTTATCAACACATGACAACTTTATTTTCTTTCAAATATTTATTTTTACACTTTTTGATAAAAGAATTAGAGCCAAAGAAGTGGTTGCACTTGCAATGAAACTTGGTATGTGAGAATGGTAAGCTTGAAGATGCAAATGATTAGCATTTTATGCCATTGATATAATAGCAGCTGCAGCAGCATCACTTGTTTTGTGATATAGAGTGATTATTTATAAAATCATTTTAAGCAGCAAATTTATTTCCTTGAAAATCTTATAAATTAAGCAGCTGTGCAAGAATGGCAGTGCTAGTTAAGTGTATATGATTTGCAATAAACTTCTGATTTTCTATATATTATCATAGTTAAGCGACTATGCATATTATGCTTCTTACGAAGTTTAAAAAAAGATCGGGAAAAGTAGATGTATGAGAGTCACTGACTATTGTTTTGTAGTCTTTCAGGCATGCTCCTTTACATAATAGCTGTTATATCAAACAATACACAGTGTTTTAGTATGATTTGTGATGAAATTGTTTGTGCATAGTATCAAACAGGAATATGAACTTGTTTTTGTTTTGTGCAGTAGCTGTGATTTTTAAAGCTATATCAGTCCTGGAAATTTTTCCTGCAGCTCCTTTTTAGTTATTCTAGCAGAATATAAGCTGTTATAGTTTTATAAGCAGTAGAAAATGTAAATTTTGAGAATGATTTTGTGATACGGTAAATTAAGCCTGTATACTTTATTCATTATAATATATGTTATGCTACATAAAAGTAATATTTTGTAGATGCACTGTGTATGAATATCCAAATATTGGGCAGAACCCCAGTGATACTCAGAAAAATGTAAGTTTTATTTAAAAAATTTAGTATGTAGTTTAACTTTTGTATTGTATAAAATGGAATTTTGCTGTTTTTGATTTTAATTGAACTTCTGTAATGCCTTTAAAAAAATATTTGCATTTTAGAGATCATCTGTATGTATCATAAAAATGTTCAAAAATTACATTTTTAATTAAATACATAGTTTCTCTCGTTATTAATTGCATTGATGCTGTTATGGGTTTAAACTGTTTAAGATGACTTAGATGTTAAAAATGACACTGAGTTTACTCTGGAATTTTGATCCTTGCAGGATTCTATAGCTACATGAGTATATCTGTGGCTTAGCCAATGTGTAATGCAACTATAAGCTAGTGTCCATTAGAAATACTTCCATGAAGATGGCATTTCTTAGGCAGAAAGCTCTTTAAATGATTTTTCATTCTCAGTGCTTTCACCAAAAATATATAAGTAAACTAAAGTGACAAATATATTTTACAAACAGTTGCACAAGGCCAGTGATATTAAAATGTGAGGTAGAATTTTGCAAATGTGTTTCTTTAAATGTGTTTGATAATCATGAAGAGTAAGAGTGAATTAAGTGATGCAAGGTTATGAGTTGCACTCGTTGGAGATAACAAGTCGGGAATTGTTTGCTGTTTGGCTGCCATTAGGAGCATAACTGAGTAATGAAAATCATATTTACCATATACTTCTAAATCTAACCAAGAAGTATGGGGAACTAAGCAGACGTTCAGTTTTCGAAGGTCTGCTCATTTTTGTTTGACTTGTGAATATTATGATTAGAATAATTTGTTCCCCCCAAAGGCTCTGTTGCTATTCAATGTTGGATTCATTAGTCTTCAAAATGCAGTGATAATTTTCTCTTTTTTCATGTATTAAATGCATTCTAGTATTGAAAATTATGTGTTCAGAATCTGCAAGGTGGTTTAAAGAAACTTTTAAACGTGAAGAGAGGTACTAGGGAAAATGTGTCTTAATGTTAGTGCTAAAACTGTTCATTCTTTCATGTTTTTTTGCTTACTTTTCTGCATTTACCAAAAAAGTATGTTGTAAAACTGATTGTCATTAAACATTTTCAGCTGAAAAATTTTCTAGCAGGATTTAAGCCTCTAAATTGTCTCCATAATTAATGCTTTGGAAATCACACATTTCTTATTTTTGAAAGTGAGTCCAGAAAAGGGTTGGAATTTTACAAGAAAGGACAACCGACCAAATTACATTTATTTTATCATTACACTGAATATCAAAGAAAGGAATAATTGTCAGGCATTTCATTTTTGGGTTTGGACCAAAGAAGTAATTGTTTCATGTAATAAAAGAGAATTTTTATTATATCTTACAGCAGCAATAATATATCAAGATATTAAACTACATATGCCATCATTACTTATAACTTGAAATATAAAGACATCAATAAATGAAGTTAATTATGCAGTAATTTGACTAAAATGAACAGTACATAATTTCTCTGCGTTTTTGAAATTTACAATGCTTAAGTTTACCTGTCTACATGATGATTTTATCTGCTTCATTGTTGGCAGGCCGAAAAATGTAGACATCCATTTTTGTGTAAGCTGCTTATCTCATCCACACTTTGAAAGGAAATTCATTTTTTAAAAACCATATATTTGAAAAATATTTTGCAAATCTCCTTTAATTATCCGCATGAAAATAAAAGTAATTTGCCTTTTGTTTTCTTATGATCTTAAATCCTCTGAGCTGCATGGGTTTTCAGATATGTTTATGAAGTATTATTTTTAAATAGCATTTGTTAGTTACATTTGTATAATTTTTTATTTTACTTTTTGTTTTCATAAAATTGTTGGGTTAATATTAAGATTAGTAAAGAAAATACTTTAAATAACAATGTAATAAATGCTGACAAACGAATCTCATGCCATTTTAAAGGTAGTCATGCTACTCAGAGGAGTAATCAGTTGTACTTTCATACTGCTTTAACTATATGTAAATTCTAATGTTATCTTCTTTTTTTAGTTAAATAGTAGACCTATTTGTTGTATCACATGCAGTGACACCGTCCTAGTTCTGGTGAGTTTGAATTTCCATTTTTTACATCATTTTTTTTTCACGTGGATTACACAGTCTAAAAATATTAATTGTCAAAAATGTAACCAAATGGAAGTTGCCATTTAGAAAATGAAACTAGTAGTATTAATTTATCATAAACCTTCAAATAATTTATCAGCAATTCCTAGATTATGTAAAATTTTCTTAGTCTTTAAAATCATTTTTCAAAATTTAGTATTAATTTATCATAAACCTTCAAATAATTTATCAGCAGTTCCTAAATTATGTAAAATTTTCTTAGTCTTTAAAATCATTTTTCAAAATTTACATATCTACTCTGAAGTACTTTGAAATTGAAGATGTTTGTTATTTTTACTGTATTTGGCAAATTTTCACATATTTCACAGCTCATTTTAATTATCTGGAAATCATACACTAATTATTAAAATTAAACTGAAATGTATTGGGAATTATTTTTTCTTTTTCCTTATCACAAATATATTTTTAGCTGCTGAATATTTCAAATTAATTTATTGTTTGTTTTGGCTCCCAGTGTACAGTTTAAAAGGATTATGCATAGGTTTAACAAAGTGTAATAGACAACATGTCTAAGCTCTGTAAATGTGTTTTATGTTGGAAATATCTTCTTGCACCTAAAGACTAGTTCAAACTGTGTGTATTTGATGTAACATTGCATCAAAGTCTGAAATTCTAGAACTCAAAACAGATTATGTATATATATTTTGAATAATAAATTAATAATAGCCCTTTAACTCCCATCTTCATTAAAAAATAATAGAGCAATAATTTTTCTAACTAAACAAAAAAGATCTGTCATCTATTCTCTATTGCGCACTTATCAATGAAATCTTAACCCAACATCTGGGCATTAATCTGTCATGTGATCTGAAATGTAATCTGATATAAAAGGTAATTGCTACATAATTCCCTTCCTTCTCTCTTCCCTCCCTTCCTTCTGACATTTGTATTTTGCAATAATAAGGTTAATATTTTAGGTTTTTTAAAAAATTATTATCAATATTCACTCATTTTTCATGCCAAAAAACTGTAAAATAACAGATGTAGTTCACTTTGTCTAAAATATTTTCAGAAAATTCTACACTTCTGTCTGAATATCCTTTTTGCAGTAGGTCTGCATGACATATGTTCAGCTTTCCATTCATGTGTTTCCAGAACCTGTAAATACTTAGATCACCAATAGGTATACTAAGAATATCCGTATGAGCTGTTGTGAAACTTATCTACTGGATTTCTGCCGAGTGAAACATCAATTCGCATAATTTATAAACCTTTTCTTCAATTGTTGTTGAAGGTAGTTGTCATGCTTTTGTGGCATCGCACATGCTTTTCGTAGTTTTCAATTAGGTTATAGACTTCACACTTATCACAAATCATGTTTTTCTGCTAGCTAGTCGATAGTTGCAATTTTTTTTTTTTTTTTTGTAAAAAAGTTGCATCTTTATTTATTTTGTTAGTTGATAGGCTATTTTTTTTTTTTTTTTCAAACCTTGTAAATGAATATTTAAAATGAATGGTATTTTCTTTGCCTTCTCTTCCAAGACCAATACATTTGAAAGTGACTGAAGTGTTGCAATTACAATTTTTATAAATGATAATGTTTGAATTGTAGGTTTGAGAGATGACAGAAATAAGAATGATTCATTTGTAGGAATGTAGCTTAAGTTATTGAACTGTACCTGTTGTTTACTTATTTTATGAGATTAATTTAATTGCATCTTTTTTTTCTTGAAGCTATTTTTTAATGCATTATATTTTTTAAATATGATCAAGTTATGTTTCATTTTTTGAGGATTTTGTAGCCATTCTGCAGATATTCAAAATTCATTTTATCTGTTAAAAGTGCAGTTTTTATTAATACTTTTATGTACATTTATATGAAATAATTTAGTTGATTGTATTTTCTATTATTTCTTTTTTTTTTACTTTCAAGGGTGACACATTTGGTCGTTTTTTTCTTCATGCTTTACCTCAGGTATATCTTTATCATATCATTCAAAATTCTCAACCTGGGATTCCATCAAAGATATCATTGAATTTGTCATCTCAGTAAGTAGTAATTTTCAAATGCATTTTATACAAAATAGTTAGTATGTAATTAATACGGTAGAACTTTGAGTGAACTTTGAAAATTGAACTTAGTAGAACTGCAGTAGAACTTATCCAAGGCAACTGTGACCATGATCAATCTGGATAGTTTAAGTTTAGATAAATGAATTTTAAATCATGGCAGTGATGAAATTATGGCTTTTGATGAGGTTTTCAAGAACTGTTTATTTGTAATTCTGAAAATAAGTGCAGTATTAAGCTGTCATTATTTTAAACTATTTTATTACTAACATAAAATTTGCTTCCTTCACTTAACAAATGGGGCATCTAAGGTTTTATTTAATGACAAAAATACTTTTGGGAAAAAAAATGGATTGCTGTCCATTGAAATTTGCACAAATTTTTAAATTTTGTCAAATTTCTTGTATTTTTATGTGACAATTTCTTTTGGGAAAAGTAGTTAATCTTTTCCTGAAATAATCTTGTAACCGTGTTCACTGTCACATGATCATGTCATTTCTTGTTAAAAAAATCCTTAGGAGAAGCATCAGGATGTAATCGTCATCCCACTGCCCCATAGTATGACTGCCTGTAATCCAGTCATGAAAATTTTAGTCACTTGGTATATATTAGCTTAAATTTATGAAAACAGTGATTTAATTATGCAAATTTAGCTTATAAATACCTTTTAAATACAGATTTTCATGATCAGATGCAAAGAGCCATGCCACTTGGGTTAAATATTAAAGAAATTTATTAAAATCTCCACTGCTTTAGATTTTGGAGTCCATATCTGAGCAAATGGACTGGCTACAGGAAGTTTTCACAGTTTTGCCCAAATGTTTCCATAAAGGTATTTCTTCCTTTAAGCAAAAACTGTCATGCCTTAACCCTCCCCCCCCCAAGTAACCCCAAATCAAGACTTCAGCATGGCTAATTTTCACGTTTTCTATTTTATTGTCATCCTCAGCATTCCTGTAATTTTTATTGTCTTCCAGATCTGTGCTGTGGATGATTTTTTCTTCACTCAAAACTTGAAAATTTCGTTCTCTGTTTTCTACATTTGTTCATTCCAGAATGTCTGATAAGAAAGGTGAAAAACTCTGTTAATAATAAAATTTGCAAATGTTCCTGATTCTCATTGTACCCTTTCTAATGTTACTACATTTTTTTCAATTATTCCTGTAAACGTTGTCAGTTGGTCAGATCTTGGATGATAGAAGCTGTTTAGTAGAGTTTCTACTGTCTTTGTATTTGATAAAACTAAATTTTTTAATTTAAAGTGTCTTCAAATATTTTTTAAGTTTAGCAGAATTTATGTTGTAGTATAGCTGATGAGTAAAAAGACGATTAAGAAATACTTGAATATTCTCACAAAAGGCTGACTAGGAATTAAATATCTAATGTTTCTGTGTAGACCTTGAAAATAATTTCTGGTCATAAGTACCTGGACACGTTGAGATATTAAAAGTAATTTAGCGTGTTATCACCTTTTATTGCAGTGACAACAGCCACTTCATGACTGAGTTTTTTCTCTAACTTTTGGAATGTTGTAGTAGGAATTAAGTACTATGCTTGTAAAAGAGCAGTAGTCAGTTTTGTTACTGATGAAAAGCTGATTCCAGAGTTTCTGCATAGGTTGAAGTTAAAGCTGTAAGCTAGCCAATCAAGCTCATCAACATCCATGCTATCAAATCAGCTTTGAATGGCATATGCCTTTTGAATGGGAGCACAATCATATATAAATAGGAATTCACACTTTCCAAATAATTGCCACAGTATGGACAATATGGGATCATTTCATTGATGCAGGCCTATGTTTTCTGACTTTTGTATATGAGAACCAGAGAACTGAGTCGAAAGCATGCGAAAGAGTCACAGTCCATTGTGTATCCGCCATTAAACTTTAGATACAGTACATTTAGGTAACACTTTGTTGGCATGCTGTACGTGCACAGGTGGCTTTTAGATTGATAATTAATGTACAAGATTAGCTTTTAATAACACATATTGCCATTACTCAAAGCTGCTATGTGTTCGAATTTTGCACCACTGTGAGTGACTCTTAGCATTAGATGCATTAATGTTTGGTTTATTTGTGGAATACCATGTTGTTATCAAACTATTTTATCTGCAGCTGCTCAATAATCATGACAATCTAAAGTTCATCCAAAAAGCAACATGGAATTCAGTATGAATGTTTTCTGCCAATTTCCTGTGTTTTATTTTACAGTCCTTTTCAGTATTTTCAAGTCTTTATCTGACAGACAGTGTGGTGTGCCAAACGGGTGTATCAAGCTAGTTGTATTATTCAGTTTTTGCATCTTTCTACTCTTATTATGACATTGTTTATAATAGCATAGGTAGCTTATAATCATTCAGAAATTTTGCAGTTTCACACAGTTGTTTCAACACAATCACTCCAGGAAGTTCAAAAATAATTTAGTTTACATATCCATCATCATCTAATGGTTATTATGTGTTTTTATATCTTTTATTTTACAGTGACTTTTGGCAACTCGCATCTTTCTTTTTATACTTTTTTTGAGCTTGCACTGAGGTCATTGGTAAAATCCACTTCCATCTATAGAAAGATCTCGATACTTTTGATCATACAAGCTATATTATCAGTATTAGATGTATTATTTTCTTATGCAAGTGGATGTTTATTGTTACTTTAAGCGATTCCGGACCAGCATCCCACCCACTCACCACTGGAGATAGCACTCACAGGTCGGGTGATGTGGATACGCATTGTAAGCTGAACCGTTTTATTAAAACTACTAGACAGCATCCCATGTCCATTGCTTTTGAAATAAATATAGTTTTCAGATCTTGACCTTCAGTTTGATCCCTTTCTGCCTAACTTTGGTGTCAGCTATTGCGGGAGAGGAGAGGAAGCTAATGTAAACAAATAAAGCTCCTATCTTTACCTCACCATGTGATATAAACATTCCTGTTTCTGAAATTCTTAGGAATCCCTTTTTTTTTTCTTCTTTTATTCGCTACTTTATAGGGTCTTTTAGGTATACTATTTTGGGTACTGTTACACTTTGCATTGCTTTTATTGCTTGCATTTTGCATACTTCCTTTTTTATTTTGGAAAGCCATGACGTCAGTTTATTATGGTGACCAAGCATTATTTATCAGAGAAAGGACGTACTGGTAATGTAAATGAGCCTATTAGTGACATGGATGAGAGTGATGATTCATTTTCTAAAGAGTTAAAATGCAATATTTCAGTGGTTCTGATATGGATGTTTTGTAAATAAAATAAAAAAGAGAGTGAGTTCATTGTGTGCCTGCCTTTCCCGTGAAAGATTCTGCTACTTCTTCCTGTAAATAGTATTTCTTGTATTTTTTTAATTAATATGTTTTATAAATTAAAACTTTGGAATAATTTGAATATCATGTTCCGAAAATTGTTTCTCAAAGTAACCAATTTTTTCTTTTATATTTTCATGTAAAGTAAAGGAAAAAGATTATAAATGTTAATTTTATTGTATGTGGTAGCATAAATAATAATCTGAAAAGATGTTAAAAATTATGGTGTGAGGACAAACTCTTTTTTTGAGATTTTTGCCCTAAAGTTAAGCATAGTGGCACAACACCGCTGTCTTGAGGGACAATTTGTTTCGACTTTCATACGCCCGAGGGAGCATCTTAAACAAAGAAGGACCATCTTGAAAGGGTTAAGAATTAAATGCGTATGCATGTAGATCTGAATACTGTCATTATTCATCATGCTGGAGTAGATATGTGTTTAAACATCAATTTGCATTCACAAATAACTATTGAAAAATCATAATTTAGAAATAGTTCAATTTCTATTTTGTGTAATTTTATTTTACTGCTCTGCTCTAGGTTAATTGCATTTAATGATTTATATATATATGTAAGATAAAAAATATGAAAGCAAACTTCTAAACTTAATTCACTATAACTTCCATTATTTTCTATTTCATTTGAGAACTTCCTCTATCTGTCCTAAAAATAGCGCTTAAGTCTAAACTGCGTCATTCAAATTAATCATGCGATCTTACTTAACCCATAATGCAGATCCCTCTCGACCAATCACCGAATTGTAAACCAAAACTTTTCTCTTCGCGTGCTTCCATCTTTCATAACTACGCACTTCAGCTTTATGCTCGCTTACTGTGCTAAGATGTGAATTTCCGCTGGCTTGCTTTCTATCCCAACAATATCAAAAATGTAAATCTTCTATGGGAAGGCACGACTAGGAGTGCCAAAGTGATTGTGGCCACAATATCAATTGGAAATAAAAATGGAATTAAAACTGCTTCGACTGCCAAGTTCTTTAGATGTTACCAAGTTAGCATTACTAGCATACTATGCAATCAAAATCTTCTTCAATATGGGTCTAATCATGCATCTACAGTGTTCCGTCATTTTCCTTGTGTTTTTATTATTACAATTAAGCCGGTAAGGATAGCTTCCTGCAGCCTGAAACCTCAATGGAAAATTTAATTCAGCTCTTCAAATCATCGTTTTGTGATAACTCCAAGATAATGTGTAAGAAGTGAATCATCAAATTTGTTTTTTCAGTGTTTAAAAAATAACGGATCATTCTTCTGCTGTGGTGTTCTGCAAATGCTTCAAAAAATAATCACGCATAGTGTTTACAGATTGAAAGTAATATCTCGATAAATTGAGAAGTTCGAATGCCTAGTGAAAAAGAAATCATCAGTGAATTACCGTTTAGGAATTCAGCATTACAGCGAGTTCAAGGTTGATCCGAGTTAGTGTTTGCAAGTATGTGCGACAGAAAATTATTTGCACTTCCGCTTTTTCAACAGCTAAAAAATTATTACATTCGTGTGAATCTAGCTCAGGAACTAAATAATTTAATGTGCTGCGGATTCTATAGTTTTCATTTCAACATTGGTTAAAATTTTGCAATTTGTTTGAGAAAATCTGAAATTCTTGTTCATTAATTTTTCTAATTTTGAATTTTTCATAATTATGTGTGAGCAAATTAAGTAACGAATTTTAAGCTATTTAAATTATTCATAGGGAAGGATATTAAGATAAGTTTTTATGTTTTTGAAATATAAGTTTTTATGTTTTTGAAATTTTGTTGAGAATTTTGAATACGAATTTTATAATTATTCTAAAAATGAAGTTGGTGTAAAAATTAAGTGAAATTGTTACAGATATGTAATATGAAGTTATGGTAAATGCATGTTAAAATTTATGGGTTATTGTGTGTTAAGTATAGTATGATGAGGGTGTACTGGTTCCTTCAACAGAGGCCTGTAATTACCTCTGTACAGTTGTTCACCTTCACCCTCTTCAAGTAAGATAATGTTGGAAGGCTCTCATTTTATGAGTGTGTGTGTAATTTTTTTTTATATTAGTTGTTATTATTATATGTGTTTTTTTATTATGGAATGTATTAGTGCAGTTCTCATAGGCCAGTAACCTTAATGAAAGGAACGGAGGCCTTTTCAAGTAACTGTCTAGGCACCCTGGGCCACCAGTGCAAAGAACACACTGGTTAGCTCAAGAGGACAGCCCTATTGATGTATATGTTTGTTTAGAAGTATTGTGAGGCTTCCAGTTTGGTAATATCAGGAATTGTAAATGAAAGATGATAAAGGTGAAACCATAAATTCTGAAAATCTTAATCCTATTATTTATAATGTTAAATTAAAATTTATCAGTATGAAAATTAATATCATAAATATTTATAAGTAATCATTAAGTAAAAGTTTATTTTGTGATATTCTGTAATAAACAAGAACCTTCCCTGAAGAATTATGATTATGATTATGTGAATTCTCAAACAAAAAGACTTTTGCACTGAAATGCTGAAAAATTCAATAGGACTCTAAAAGTTAAAAATTTATTAAAAAAAAAATTGAACTTTATAAATTATACTTTACAGAACAAAAATTTGATGACTTATGTGTTTTGTTTTTTTCTTTATATTTGCTAGTGCTTTAACTCTCTCTTTAAAAAGGCTTCTCTGTCGCTACGCCTTTTTCTTTTTGAAGGGGGGAATATGTAAGATAAAAAATATGAAAGCAAACTTCTAAACTTAATTCACTATATAACTTCCATTATTTTCTATTTCATTTGAGAACTTCCTCTATCTGTCCTAAAAATAGCGCTTAAGTCTAAACTGCGTCATTCAAATTAATCATGCGATCTTACTTAACCCATAATGCAGATCCCTCTCGATCCCTCTCGACCAATCACCGAATTGTAAACCAAAACTTTTCTCTTCGCGTGCTTCCATCTTTCATAACTACGCACTTCAGCAGCTTTTGCTCGCTACGTGTGCTAAGATGGATGTGATTTCGCTGGCTGCTTTCCTATCCCCAACAATATCAAAAATTGTAAATCTTCTGTGGAAGGCACGACTAGAGTGCCAAGTGATTGTGGCCACAAATATCAATTGGAAATAAAAATGGAATTAAAACTGCTTCGACTGCCAAGTTCTTTAGATGTTACCAAGTTAGCATTACTAGCATACTACGCAATCAAAATCTTCTTCAATATGGGTCTAATCACGCATCTACAGTGTTCCGTCATTTTCCTTGTGCTTTTATTATGACATATATATATATACTGCGATACCAAAGGGCGCAGGTTCATATCCCGCAGAAGGCATGGTTGTAACTGTCTGCCCCTTTATAGGAGACAAAGGTGGCCCACCTATTGGGTGCCTCCATAATAAAGTGACCACCACTTATGGCCTCAGTAATGACCAAGCCGAAGTCAGCTGAAGGCCTGCCATTGGTTTACAAAAATATTTACAAAAATTCTGGATTTGTTTGAAGTTACGTTAAGTTTTTTATGCATATTTAAATTTGTAAACAATTATTTAATGTTTGTGCGATCAATAAAAGCTGTAAGAGTTCACAATTTTCTGTTCATCTGAGATGCACTTCAGTGCTTATGTTAAGTAGACTACAAAATGCTACTTGAAAAGCTCTTGTTAAATAATATTCTTTGTCTTTTACATTGTTTCTTAAAATGCTTATTAAACCTTTTCTAAAAATGTATATGCTCTTAAAGTTTACTAATTTTTCATTATATTTTTAATTTTCAGTGTAATGGCATGCATTAATATTTATGGAGAACTTACCTTCCATGGAATTATGGATTATTGGGCTAATCAAGATAATGCATATAATGACAGTTCTACTACACACAGGAAATTTTCTGATTCATCTTTCCCTTCATCTCCAAGACTGACTGCAAACATTTCTCCCCAAAGTCATGAAGTTGATAAATCAAAGCTTGTTACATCAGATTTTGATTTGCAGTTTCCTAAGATGTCTGAACATACTGATAGTTCTAGCAGCAAAGTAGCAGGGATGATTGATACTTTTGATTCTCCTACTACTCGTACATTAAAGTTTTCTTCACAGCTGGATCACATTTCTTCACAGCTGGATCACATTTCTTCAAAATCGGCTGCATCTTCACTATTGCATAACATGGAGGCTTTAAAAATATCATCAGAACAAAACAAATCCTTGGCAGGAAATACTGGAGAGAGCAGTTCTATAGTTTCATACAATGAACATAGAGAGGGAAATGGTATAAAAGGCACAACTGATTTATCAAAATTAGAACAAAGGAGAGCTTTAGACAATTCTAATAACAGAGCCAATTTAAATGTTCATAAGGCTGCAACTTTACCACCTGTTATCTCTAAACCATTGGCATTTGATAGGAAATATGCATGGGACATTGAATGGGCTGCGGTTAGTATTGTGTTGAAGTTATTTTTGGATTATTTATTATTTGCTATTTAGCTGTTGTTTTTAATTCTAGAAGTTAAATATTTAAATGTATGTTTTCACTCTATGTGGTTTTTAAATCTTTTGTATCCCAAATAAAGTCTAGTGCTGTGGTTTCTTTGTGTAGCTAATAGATAAGAACATAGTATTTGTACATAAATTTCCATCCCTTAAATTGTATTCACAATTTTATATTATAGTTTTTTAATAGAAGTTATCTTTTTCTATTAAGTTAGTTATATCAATACATTCGATAGAATTCTAGCTGCCGTAATGTGTTAATGCCTTGTTTTTAATGTAGATTTGAGCAATACAGTATAGAATACATATAAGTTCTTAATTATTGATGAATGATTCATTTAATTAATGTGTATGAAATCATGTTTAGTATTCTGTATGGTAACTTTAAATAAAGCAATATTGCTTATACTTTTATTTTTCTGTGCAGGATGATGGGGAGATGTGTGCAATTATGGATAAAATGCGCATGTATATTTATCGGGGCACAGAACCAGAGGTGAATACTTTATTTGCATTCATAACTTTTCATGAATTTTATGAATTATTTTTCAAAACACTGTAAGTTATTGCCATTGCTTCCATTGTTTTTAGTATCTTAATACATTTTTTTAAACATATTTTATGAAAGATGACATTTGTATTTTATATTTTTAGGAGCCAATGACTTGTATGGGATACATGTGCGAGTTTAAAGATTTGGAAGTGACAGCAGTTCTTCTGTCTGATTTAATGCTAAATCCAGATGATCCTGATGAAAACTATTTCTTCAGAAATGATGTTAAAGTTTGTGTTAATTTTTATACTTGAAGTGCCTATAAATTAATGATGTTTTTAGTCTTCTGAACCAACATGTTTAAAGATTAAATAGAGATAGTTGTAGAAATTAATAGATAAAAGTAGTAAATGCATCAAATTAAAGCATGAACAAAGATTGTATGACCCCTTGATAATTGATTTAATGTGTTTGTGTCATATGAACTTTCAAGGAGATTTAGTTGTGTAGTCATATACATGCATATACAAATAGACAAACAAGTACAATAGAAGGTCCGAGATCCGGAGTCGTCGGGACTTCAGCGATTCCGGATTTGCGATTTTTCCGAATTTTAGATCATCAGTTTAAAACTAGTAAGATGGCATGTAGAAATTATAAAAAATTTGAAATCATTATTTATGAAATAATAAAGCATTATGATCTAAAGGGTATCAAAATTTACCAAAAAAAAAAAAAAAAAGCTTTATTTTAATTTGTTTATTTTACTAAGCATTTCTTTCAATGTAAGCTGCTTCTTTTTTTGTGCTAATACTTTCTTTTTAATCCTAGACAGACATAATTTCTTGTTCAATTACATCATGGAAGTCCTGTAATTGCTGTGTTCAGAATTCCGACTAACTTGTCAATCGAAATTTTTTTCATTTTCAGTAACCTCTCTGTGACTTTTTTCACTATTGGTAGTGGTATTTTTTGGATTTAGAACCATACTACAGATTTTGCCATCTATTAATAGACTGATGATTGAGGAACTTTGTCATCTAAATAAAAAAACTTCTTTTATAGCATTGTCATTTATTGCCGCTTTTCTCCACATTTTGTTATAAAATTTATAATTGGGAAATTTCACCCTTTGTTTGCGATATTAAAAAATCTTTAAAATTCACGACTATCATCGTAATATGTATTTAGTCACGTATCATGAGATCGGTGACTAACAAGTTCCGCTAAATTTTATTTTGCTTCTATCTCGCACTGACACAATTAAGTCTGAATTGTATTAGTTTAGTTATTATATTTATGTCTAATTCTTGCACATGCTTAAGGCTTATCTGAGTCTGGAATAAATAAATTCCCACATATACTTAAGGCTTATTGAGGGCCGGCGCTAGAGCTTGATACAGTCTCTATAGGTCCTAACTTCTGCTACAAAGCGCCTCCCTTTGTCTTGCCTAAATTCTACCGCCCAGTGCCGCTGTATGAGCCCTGGCGCTGGTTCTGGTTCTATATGAATAACAAATCAGTTATTCTTAATTCAATAGCACTGAATGTAATTTTTGGCCTATGAGTATCATTAATAAAATCTATTTTAGCATATGGGCAGAAATTTTTGTTAAATTTTTCCTCGTCAACATTTCTTAGTGCATTTAACTTAAATCTGTAATCATCACCAAGCGTAGTGTCAACTTAAAAGGTTATCATACACTTTATTATTGAATTACTAACATAAAAAAATTATTCAGGCATCGCTACATGAGACATTATTCAAGTTGTCATGTGTTGGTAAACATGTGGTGATGAAAGCAAAATATAATAATGATTTGCCAGGTTGGTATCAGGGATATAAAATATTAGTAAATGTAAATCAGCGATGTATCCACGTAGTATGTTTTGGTTTGAGATGTATGTCAAGCAGATACATAGCAACGGAGCCAATTATCGATCATACAAATTTATGTTAAAATGATTGTTTCTTCAGTGACGAGGTATTTTATTTAGTGCAGAAGTGAAATTAAGAATCGGGACTCTCAACATGTTTTATTATGAGCTTAGGGGGGGATCAAATGCATAAAGCATACAAAAAAAAAAAAAAATGTTGGTGGCTTTGATGTCCAGATTTTAGATCATTCCAGATATTAGACGTCTGGATCTCGGACTTTTTACTGTGTAATGAAGCATTTATGATCTAAAGGGTAACAGAATTTGCAAAAAAAGCCTGATATTTATTTGTTCACTTTATTAAGCATTTCTTTGAATGTAAGTTGCTATTTTTTTGTGCTAATATTTTCTCTTTGATTCTGTAGACAGACATAATTTCTTATTCAGTTACAAAGTTCCATTGTTCAGGTCCTGCAAGTGCTGTGTCGAAAATTCTGCTAACTTGTCAATAGAAATTTTTTCATTTTTAGTAACTTCTTTGTCATTTTCTTCACTATCAATAGCGATATTTTCTGGATCTAGAAACTTACTACATACAGATTTTGCCATCTGTTATTTTATTGGTAATTGGGGCATTGTTATCGCAATGAAAAACTTCTGCTCTACATCTTCATTTATTACTGCTACTATACATTTCTTTACAAAATCCAGTAATTGGAAAATTTCACTTGTGGTTGGCTATCATCTTCATTATGCCTACCATGAAATATGCTATCTGACCATAAATTATGCCAAGCATTTAAAGTATGAGAGACATCTTCCCACAATCTTGCGATACTCGACCAGGCAGATTTTAAACTAAAATATTAAAAAAATTCTTGAATAGTCTTGCCATTATTCAAGAAATTTAACATAGATTTTAAAAGTTCTGCTTTGTATTTGCATTTTCAGCATGCACACTATTTGGGTATTTATATTCTGAATGATTTGCATACAATTTGGAGGAAAGAATAATATGGATGTATTATCTTCCACTAAAATTTTAAGTGGAATATGAGCAGAACAGTTGTCTAGAATTAGGACAATTTCTGTGACATCAAGTAAACCACCAAGGCCTACATACATATCACTTAGGCCTCGTTAAACCAACTGAATTCTGCTGAGCCTTTGGTATGAAATCATTTTCAAACCAACCATTCATTAACACTTGGGTCATCCGTGTACTTCTATTTGCATGGTATATAATGGGAAATGTTGACTCCTTTAAATGCTTGAGGTCGTGTATTTTTTCCAATTGTGAAAAGTTTAGACTCGTGCGTTCCTGCAGCATTTGAGCATGCTAAAATTGTTAGTCTTGCTTTGGAATCTTTGGCATGAGTTGGAGCCTTTCCTATAGAGGTTGCCAAGGTATTTTGCAGCACATGTTGCCAGAAAAGCGAGTTTCGTCAACATTGTAAATTTGTTTTGGAGATAACTTTTAACTATTAATGAGTTCAATGAATTCATCTATAAATAGTTCAACTGAAGCTTTTTCGCCTGAAATTCTTAATTGCCTTGTACCATTTCAGTTTTTGAGTTTCGTTAACCAATTGCTGAATATGTGCCCTCTGTTTTTAAGTTCATTTCTTAGTGAAATGCTTTAGCTTAAGCCTTTGCTAAAACAACATTTGACCCCTTAATGGCACACTCTTGCTGCAAAGTTGTCTGACCCTTTTAGTTATCACTTTGTCATAATCTTCACTTTTAGCATAATAAAGAATAATTTTTCTATTATTCATTCAGAGTGCAGTGTCGGAATCCACAAAAAATTCAAAAGTTCCTTTTTCTGTTTTCTTATGTCATATACAATTGACTTTCGAATGCCATACTGCTCACATAATTTTGAGATGGATATACCGTTATTCATTTTTTGCAGCAGTTCTACTTTTGAGATGGATATACCTGTTTTACAATTTATTACTAACCAATGTCTTTTTCATATCTATTATGGGAAGTAATTTCCATACATATAATTGTATTAATTATTTTTGTATAATTTTATCTTTAGTAATTAAAATGAAAAATTTTTTACTTTTAGTCTTTGAGAGATACAAGAAATTTAATTGTCAATGTTGGTCTTAAAGATGCTGCTCAGTTCATTGAAGAAAATCCTCATAAACGTTTATGGTGAGTCCTGTTTCTTTTTTGAGCCTATTTGTCTAGCTGAGTGTGTGTATATGTAGTAGTGCCTTCTATCTGTTGGTACTATGTCACAAAACCTAATGCAGTTACTTAAAATAATTAATAATGCAATGTGTAATGTAACATTTATATATCATACATAAATGTAGTAAAGCTTAATTCATAAATGATGCTTTTTAAAATTTATATTGTGTAAAAGAATTCAAGTTATACAAGGTGTGACACACACGCACAAAAAAAGAGACTGGTCCAATAAATCATTGTACTTACAGAATCAGTTCTCCGTGACATTATCACCTTCAAGGTAGTTCCCTTCACTATTCACACACTTCTGCATTCGGTGCTACCATTGTTGGTAACAGTTCTGGAACAACGTTTTTGGAAGGCCCTTCAGGAGATTCTCCGTTTTTGCCTAAAACCCTTCAGCTGAGGTAAAATGGGTTCCCTTTAGTTATGATTTAACTTTAGGAAATAAAAAAAAAGTCTCATGGAGCCAAATCAGGTGAATAAGGAGGATGCCCCATCAAAGTAATGTTTTTGCTGATCAGAAACTACTTGACAGATGGAGCGGTGTGAGCGGGTTCATTGTCTTGGTGCAACAGCCATCTATCACTCCACTACTGTGGCCTTTTTTCCCTAATTTTTTCATGAAGTCTTTTTAGTACTTTGATGTAGTAGTATGGATTAACAGGCTAACCACGGGGAACCCATTCAATCATGATAAACATGCTGGACACCCCTGTTCATCATCTTCCACACTTTCCCGTCCCCCCTGAAAATTGCTTATGCCATTCAAACACACGTGCATGAGACAAAGTTTCATCTCTATAAGCCTCGGTTAACATTTTGAAATGTTTCCTTGGCTGATTTCTTAAGTTTCACAAGAAACTTCATGTTAATTTGCTGTTCAGTTTTTTACATTTTGACATTTTTCCGGCAGAATGCAGTTGCACGTGTTCACTCAAAGTTGCAGTACTCCTCATTGGCATGGTCAATTAAGTCGAAACTGGCTGCATGGATAGAGGAGGTGTGTGGCATGACATCACCAAAACAGTCGCTGCCAACTGCACTTTGTTTTCAACCTACACATTTAGTCTCATTTTTTATGTGTTACACCTCATGTGTGCTATAAACTTTGCTAAGTTGAAAGCGGAAGAGAAACACTCCAAGTGAAACATAAAATTAGTAACACAACAACCTAACTCTTATGCCAAACTCAAGGTTGTTGTGTAATAATTTTATCTTTGCTAAGTGTTGTGAAAATTGTTTGTTTAGAATTGTAATTCTTAAATATTTTCAAATGGTGACTCCTTGATGACAGTAGTTATAATTTGTGACTATACATGTGCAACATAGTAATTATAACCTGTAATTTTCAAATTAAATACCGTGTATATGATGATTTTCAGGTATTTTAAAGAGCTGGAATTTTATCTAATTTGCATTATGAAGGGAAAGTAAAAGCAAATTTTCTGAAAAAGAAAAAAGAATCTTCTGACCTTTGTATTCAGTACTTCTATAATGTAATTAGATGTCCTGGAGTACTACTGTACAATAATTCTGTACCTGGTTTTATACTTGATGTTTTGATACTCACAAGGAAGGTCTTCCAACCTTAAACTCTAGTTTCCTCAAAAGTATATACAAAACTGCTCTTCAGGTAATACATAATAATAAGAAAAATTAACCAAAAATGCTTTATAAGTATTGGTCTCCAAAGGGGAGAAATAAGTATGGAGTTTTTTATTGGCAGTTGTGAATTTTCTCACAAAATTTGACAGTTTTAAAATTTCATATAATATCCAAACCATTACCAAATATCAGCAAGTGAATTAAGCACTGTGGCCTTCAGTCTTGAAATCATAAAATGCAGTCTCTAATTCATTATATGCAGAATTTACACTGCCTTAAGATGTGCCAATCTGATTTACTACACCCTTATCGCCACTGTTTATGGATATTTTTATCTGCAGTTTGCAAGGTGCTAACACATTCAGTAAGACTGAAGCATTATCTTTTAAGGTTAATTATGTCTTTGAGGTAGTCCAGCAAAAATGTTTTAATTTTTCAAAATTTTTAATGCTTTCATATTTAATAGGTTATTTATAGTGAAAGAGCACATTAGTGGCAGAGCATGTAAGGCAGCTGAATACTCATAGTTTGATCTAAATTTAGATTCCTTAAACATTGTGGCGACATGGCCATTTTTGTCATTTTCTCCATGCATAGTATTATGAGCTACTATTCTTTAGAAAGTCCTTCTTTGAAGAATCCCTTCCCTCAGATAGATATGTCTGGTGTATTTGGAATTGAAAGCATGCAAAGTGAATTTGGGGTCCTTTGGAATCAATAAGCAAAAAAATTAAGATCTTAACACTTGAAAATAATTTGAAGATATGTCCAATCATGTTTAAACAAGATCCATTTTATCTCATAACAATAGAGGTGGGGAAAGGAATAAGCACTAATGAAATACACTGCCACTGTATCTGCAAAGTGACTTATTAAGTAAAAGACAGTGCTTCCCCTGAGAGAGCATTTGATGATAAAGCATTTTTGTTTGTTGTGAGCTGAATCATTTCAGTTTTTTAGATGAGCTGTTCTAAATTCTACACTTTGCAGTAATCATCTAAATTGCAATATGTAGAAAGTAGAACTAAATTTTGAAAGCAATCTTTTGGACAACGCATATCTTAAATGCATGTGCCACACCTTGATGATACATGTATAATTGATTTTATTTTTTTATATTGCTTCGTTCATTGGGATTTTAAATTTGGGGCAAATATGAGCGTTTTTCGGTTTATTGCAATGTAGTGAGGTTTTTTTATTTCAACATTCACTCATTTGCAATTTTCTTGTTATTTATTCCAGTATGCTATGAATTTGCATATTTTCACATTATTATTATTATTATTATTATTATTATTATTATATCTGTATATTCTTATGAGTAAGGGAAACTAGTGTCAGGAAATAATTCCTTTATGCACACATTAGCAATTTAAATCTCTTTGTAAATATGCATTTATATGGAGATTCAAAAAGAGGAATTTACTTGCCTGTAAAATTATCATGTTACTTTTGATAAAATAAAGATCAAAGTTTGTGAAGCCAGGCATTTTGTATGTGTATCACCTTTTAATTGACATGGAATAACACATAGTCAGTTTGTGCCATGCATATTCAAGCTGTATAAGCTATGAAATTTGCTGCTTCAACAATTTGTTGCCGAAGTTATGGTAATGTTCTTTGTAAGAAGGGACCTGTGCATGTATCTTTGATGAATCCTAAGGTAAAAAAGTCATGCGAGGTCATGTTAGTAGAGGTGAGAAGCCTAAAGTGCAGCTCACTGGCATTTTGTGTACTTTGAACAATTTGTAAGAAGCAGTAATTTTCCAAGCAATAAAATTTGCTCCTCTTTACCTCCTCACCTTAAAATACCTTGTATATACATAGTGTTTCATAGATCATGGGACAAACTTGGAGGGGTGGTGGAGCATACTAAAACATGCATTTTTTGTATAGAAATGTAGGGTTTAAAGTGATGGGTTAAGGCAGGAATGCCAAAAAACCGCACGAGAGCAATGTACAAAATCAATACAAAGTGCTTCATTGCAGCCATACAGTATTCACAATAAATGTTCAAAAAAGGGAACACTAACAGAAATAGGAACTACAGCTGTGATTGGCTGGCAGTACAGCGGTAGAGGGCGGTAGTGAGCTGGACAAATGACGATCTGATGCATCAAAGGATCATTTGCAACTTTGATGTTGAGCGTGATGGTGAGGTTTCACACGGGAAAAAGCTGACTGCATCTCATGTTGGTGCTGCTAATGGAATGGAAAGCAGCACTACAGTTGTACCAGAACTGTTTAACAGTAGCCGAAGCACACAATGTTCAGGAGGTTGCATCAGTCATGTGTGAAAACGGGTCATTTGAAACCACCTCTGGCACTAGGAATGAGAAGTCTGACACATCACACTGAAGAATCCACTTGAGCATTGTGCAAGATTTCCTCAGACAGACAGAGCTATAGCATGTCGTCTGCATCTGAGTCTTCCACCGTTTGGAGAGTATGCTGAAATGGTTTGCACCTTTCCATTTGCGCAGAGAGTCCAAGCCTTGCAAGAGACATTAAACCCTTCGAGTTCGTTTCTGTCATTGCTCTTGCAGCATGTGCGGTGCAGGCGGATTTCCCATTGGATATGCTATTTACGTGCGAGGCAACTTTCTTACAGGAATGTATTTTCAATAGCAGCAACATGCATGTGTGGGCAACTCATAATCCACAGGGCACACGTCCACATGCATTCATAACCCGCTTCTCTGTGAATGTGTGAGCGGGTATTGTTAACGACTACCTCATAGGCCCATACCTCTTAACCTGCACGCAAATGCTTATGTTATCATATTTTTCGCAAGAGGTGCTACTGGAATTGCGCGTATTTCCTCTGTTGTTGTGATCCGCAGGGGTTCCGCATGATGATGCCCACCCATAACCAAGTGCGGGTCCGTAATTACTTGGATGGGAAATTTCTGAGCTGATGGATTGGCCGTGGTGGATCCTTGCAATGGCCACCCCGTTCGCCAGATTTATCCAGCTTGGATTTTTTTTAATGAGGCCATCTGAAGAGCGTCATTTACAAGACTCCCATTGACTCACTTTAGGACCTCGTTGTATGACTATCCATTGTGGCTGCAAGCATGTGCATAATGCCTGTCTTTTCTTTTTAAATGTTCGTCAATCCCTTCTGCAAAGTTACCAAGCATGCATTACTGCTGGCGGTTGCAATTTTGAACATTTATTGTGAATACTTATTGCTACAAAAGCACTTTGCTTTTTTTTTACATGACCATTTTCCTCTTGGTGTTCTTATTTTTTTGCATTCCTGCCCTAACCCGTCACTTTAGACCCTACATTCCTATAAAAAATGCATGTTTTAGTATGTTCCACCACCCCTCCAAGTTTGTCCCATGATCTATGAAACACCCTCGTTCTCTCTCTCTATACATAGTATTTTTACTTTCTTGGTAAGTTATTAGGGACTAATTTTAGTATTATATTTTGTAAATCTTCTATGTACGTGTGTGTGTGAATATATATGCACACAAACACACTCATGCCCCCTCGTAACACATATATAACATTTCAGGCGATTGCTTGCTGAAGCTGCATTGTTGAAAATGGATTTTGCAACTGCTGAGTCCGCATTTGTGAGATGCAAAGATTACCAAGGGATTCAGTTTGTGAAAAGTATTTTGGACATCAATGTATGTATTTAAGAGTAAATACTTAAAAAGCTATTTTGCATGCAATTAAAAGATAGAAACCAGTGAAAAGTCAGTTTACTAGTGTAAATCACTAATTTAGAGTTGTATGTTGTATTAATTAAATTTAAAATTACTTCTGTAAAACAGAAAAGTATATATTTGTATACATGTACGTTTATTTGTATGAATCATATATATATATATATATATACTGGGTGGCCATAATTAAACTGACAGTGCGCACAGTATTCTGTAGCGCGATCTATTTGCGAGAATGACGCCCCTTTTTTCAGAGATTAAACAAGAAGGGGGACGAGTGATTCTGCAAAAAACAAATTAGTTCCAAAAGTCACCGCTAGGGAATATTGGCGCTGTGTAATAGAAAATAGAGTGTTAACAAATTCAAATTATACGGAATAAAATTACCTTTTATTATGCACATTTTCTGATTTAGTTAAAATGCAATATGGCAACACTTTTAAAAAAACGTAAAATCTACATAAACACCGATAAAGTCTCGTGATCTGCAATTTAATATCACGTACGCTGAGCAGAAGAAGTTATCAAATTTCATGTTACATCCTTCACACAGTGCCATGCTTGGGTTTTTTAAAAGGCATGTGTTATGTTTAGAATCAATCGGATAAAGTTATGTGCAATTTTCCTTTTAGTCGAGCGTGGTTACTGGTCAAATTCTTTTACCTCACTCAACCAGTGAAGCCTCAGCCGCTCTTCGTGCTATTAGAACGCCAAAAAAATTGTAAAAGTACGGTCCTGTGTCAGTTATGGCTAAAAGCATGGCTGCGACGTTTGAGAAACAGTTCTCTGAAGGGTTCAGTCAGGCAGAGGACGAAAACCTGTACCACAGGATACAATCGAAGCAATTGCCACGGCGATTGTCGACGAGGACCATACAATATTGCTTCCACCTCTAGCACTCATGGAGTAGCTTGGGAATATGGATATGCCGACATTACGGTATGGAAAATCTTACGAAAGATATCAACTTCTATTCGTACACTCAGCCCGTGTGAAAGGAGTTACTGTACCCCGACCATGATAAGCAATGACTTTTGCTCTCACCCTTCTTGCCAGAATGGAGTTATGATGCTTGGGCGTGAAAATCTTATGGTGAGGCCCACTTTTACCTGATGAACTGTGAATACCCAACTGCCCGAATGTAGGATTACAAATCACCAACATGCCGTCACAGCATTCCTACATTCACCAAAGGTAACTGTTTGGTGGGGTTCACAGCGAAATTTATCGTAGGTCCATTCTTCTATGAGAACATTACCCGACAGGACCGGAAACCTGTTCTGTTACTGGAGAGAAATATCACCACATGTTGAACACTTTGTCATTCCGGCACTTCAGCAAAGACATGCCTGGGGGGAATATTTTCATGCAAGATAGAGCCCCTCCACACTTGCTGTTGGGTGCAACAGATGCTATGACAGAAATTCAAACAGAAAGAGTCATTAGCCGCTACTTTCCAACGCTGGCCCCTCGGTCGCCTGATCTTACCCCATGCGACTTCTGGCTATAGGGTTACCTTAAGTCCAAGGTCTATTAAGGAGTGGTCCAGGAGCTGGCTACGTTGAAGGATAACATATCACGGACTGTATGGGAGATTCCTGCACACATGTTACTTTCTGCTGTTGTGCATGCTGTGTGCAGAATACAATTTGCGGTCGACAACAATGGCAGCCACATTGAACCTCATTTGAATGCAAAATAAAAGGTAATTTCCGTATTGATTTGCAATTGTTAACACTCTATTTTCTATTACACAGCGCCAAATATTCCCCTAGCGGTGACTTTTGGAACTAATTTGTTTTTTCACGGAATCTTTCTTCCCCCATCTTGTTTAATCTTCCTACGAAATGTGGCGTCATTCTCGCAAATAGATTGCGCTACAGAATACTGTGAGCACTGTCAGTTTAATTATGGCCACCCGGTGTGTATATATATATATACACATGTATATAAATGTGTTAAACGATTAGTTTCATTTTTTTTTTCATTTCTGCTTATGTTGTCATTTGAGGATAGGAGAATTTTTTTTATAAAGTGCTAGTTTGTCTATTATAATATTCTATATGTGAAATTGGTCTTCAGTGCATGGCATATTGAGCTTTTTGCTGTGGCTTGTGCTCTTTTGAAAAATTAAGTACTTAACATGAAAATTCGATTAAATAAAAAACATTTTCAGTGCAGTAGGTGAAAATAATCAGTTCTTATAAAGAATGAATGAAACATTAATTTTTTACTATATCAGTTACAAACTTAACGATGGATTTCCTTCAGCAACTTGTTTAAGTTGATACCAGTTTTGAAATTCTTAATGCACAGAGTATTTTTGAAATATTAATCCTTAATCTGACTTATTGTCTTTGAATCCACATGCTTCATTTCAGAGAAATGCCCTCATGAATATGCGCTTCCTGACTAAGCATACATTTTCAAAGCATGTTTGCTACGATTAGGGAATATATCCAAAAAAATATAGTTGTAAATTATAAGCAGGGGCACACTGCAGAGTTTTTTTTACCAAAGAGTTGATTTGAAGTTCTAGTAGTTTCATTTGTAATAAATATGGAATGTTGACAGCATCATCAATAAATAGTTTAAAGAATAAATCTAAAGGTAATTGTGGGTCATGAAAGTTATGAACATTCTCTTTGAACTTATTTTACAGTTTGAATATATTTGTAGCATATTTGTCAAGAGGTAGCGACAGATGCTGAAGACAAACTAAATATTTTATAAGTTGTGTTCTTGTAAGTGGACCATGGTCACAAAAGCTTTGTTATGATCAAACAGATTTTGAATCAGTTGCTTTTTAATTGTAGCCATCTATTTAGGTCATTCATACTACAATAAAATGTTGGTCAGAGACGCAGTCTTTGATCCACTTTGAATTATAGGATTCATCAGTCAGTTCTCCCTTGCTTTTCATGAACTGTATGGTTTGGTCTTTAAATTAAAAATTCTTACAGTAACCTTCTCTCTGCTCAACAAACATGCATTATTATATGATTGCTCTGATCTATTATGTAATGATATTTGTTGAGCAGAGAGAAGATTACTAAAAGTGTTTGGGCCAGAAACTTTGCAAATTGATGGCGAATCAGTTTTCTTGCTGTAATAAAAATTGGTGACAGTCACAGCAACTTTCATGATATCTTCAGATCTATTAGTTTTTCCATATAAATTCTGAATTATAATGGATGTATATACAATATAAATCTTTTCCCTCTTGTTCTGATTGTTTCTATAGCAGTGCTACAAAGCCTTTTTTTTTCTTTCGAATCACAGGAGGGGCAGTATCAGTTACCACACCTTGAAGCTTGAAACTGAGATCAAAATGCCCTATATCTTTCTTGATATCATCAGGATCATCAGTGCCATTTTTCGTTCGCCTTTATAAGTTTGAGTGCTTGCAGTTCGATGACATAGAATTGCTAGTAAGTGCCATGGATTAAGATAGCCAATTATGCTGTAGCTTTTGGGTCTGTGCTCTTATTTAAGTGAGTGGATCTGACATAAATTTGAAAGACTTTCTTTTTAAACTTTGTCAATGTGATCGGCAAGGTTAACATCATGCAACAATTAGACAAACTCATTTTTTTAATACATTTTATTTGTGTAGAATTTCCCTTGCAATGATGAAATGCTTTCTGACTAAATTTTTCGGCTGTCACATATCTTACTTTGGCCCACATTTCTGTCTCTGCTTTTAACATTTATAACATTTGCTGATAATATAAATTTCTTTACACTTGCTTATATATTCTCTTGTTGTGCACTGAACACTGCCCTTGAAGTTGATCAAAATTGGATTCCTTCTGAGTTTCATTTTATGCTGCATTGTTTTGATGCTGTTACTCACTCATTGCTTATTAAACATGCTGGCCTAATATTAATCTTCACAAAATAGTAGTCAATCACTTCTCATTAAAATTTTGACAAAAGTTGCCTAACTTATATTTTTTACTCATAGATGACATAGTGTTGGAAGTTGAGTTTTAGTCTGATATGGTTATTATCCACTCTAAGTCTCACTCTTAATTAAAAAACTCTGGATTTTTTAACATTAACAGCCAGTAGCTGGCCAGTCTAAGAATTTTGCATTACTAGGCAATTGATTTACACTTGAGTGACCAACTGTGGACTGGATCCTTTTGTATTTACATGAAAATAATTATTGGGTACCTTTAAAATGTGTTTGGAAACTACTAGAATACGCATTCAAACTAACACCATCTACTGCCCTTTACCATTTTAATTACAATGTTAAGTGTACCACCATTTTAGCATTACCTAGGTACAGTGTACTAGAAGTTATAATGGAATTATCGGCGCTTTTTTTCATAATCGAGTTTTGACATTCCGTTAGATGGCGCTGTGATCGCTTATGCCCCATAAATTCGAGGTGTTTACTGAAATTGCAATTCTGCTTAAAGGTCTAAATTAACATCTTTCACACAAGATTTTTCTCTTCTTTTTTAAGAAATATATTTATTTACTTTTATTTGCCTTTAAGTGGCCTAGAGAAGTTTTCTCGTTTTTGCGTGCATTTTATTATAGAAATTATATATCTTTTAATGCTCATGTTTAGTTTGATTCATGGTAGTTTTAATATTTTTGATAATTTTCATTTCATAGAGAAAAGTAAAAGTAACTTTTTAAATAGTAGCATTTGTAAATTAGCAAAGAAATAAAAATTGAGTAAGCTGGGTAATTAGATTTTTATGACCTTTTTAAGTTTGCCATTTCCTAAATATTATAGTGAATATTTCTCCTTTAAAATTTGAATTTTGGCATAAACAAATTTGTTGGCAAAATGATGCATCTATATTAAAAAATTCATCTATATTAAAAACTATACCAATCACGTTTTGGAAGTAATTAAACATTCAAATTTCTTCTGTTAAGAAATATTTGATAAATAAATTCTTTATAAAGTTCTAAGAGACTATATTAATATTTATTTC